TCTAAAGGCCCAGGGTTTTGATACATGTTTTTAATACCATGCACAAATCACTTAATTGTGTAAAATTAGAACATATATAAAATGTACATATAACTTATATGAAATAGAGCCAATGATGACAGCTTTTCTGCAAAAATGTTGCGGCTGTTCTGTAAGGGCAGTGGGATTTTTGTAGATGATCGTGAAATTTTTTGGAGGTACACGTCGAGATAGTAGTAACTTTATGGGACTTGATGACATTGCGTGAAAAATTTATGTACTTAGGCAAACAAATAGTTTGAAAGAATTTCAGATTTAGTACATCAGGTATTTATGGACTGTAGCCTGTAAAGATTTTAGTAACTTGTTCTGTCAAGTGACTTTTCTTAAATGAAATAGAGTGGGAGAATGACTTTCAGTTTTGTCCTTTTAAAATTTAAAATTTCCAAATAGATAGTTTTCACTTGGTGAATATTAGTGGTCTTTGTTGTGTCAAGAGTGCCTGTAGTTATTCCAAAGCATGTTTCATTTCTATTATAATTCTTAATCATAGCGTGGCAATGTGAATGCTGTATACTTGTTTGTATAGTAAGCATTTAAGGATAGACGTCAGTACACTGGAGAGCAGAAAGTCCCCAGGACTCAAAGGACCAAAAACCCCCACTGTAAACCATGAGGCAGTTCATCTGGAGGGAAAAATAGAACAACATTTTTGTACAGGGATCAGAAATGAATGACAAGGTGTCTATTTTTTTAATTAGAGACAGTGCAAGGACAAACAATTATTTGTTTTAGAACTTTGCAATTGATTTTAAAATTAAGTTTAAAAGTTTATTTTTTTAAAGATTGGCAGAAATGATAGCACAGATTTCTCAAGATGAATATTTAAAATATTCTTCAACCTGTTTGTTTTGCTTTCAAACAGCTCTGGTTCAAACAGTGCAAACCCAGAAATGGTTGTATCTTTTGCTAGCTGTAGATCTTTTGCTCTTCTGGCTCTAGATACTGGAGCATTAACATTTTGCCTTTTTAAAACTAAACCTAAACCAATTAATCAGTGGTTTAATATGGATTTAAAAGCTTCTGCTTATCAGGTATTTTGATTAAATAGTGGTTTAGGATCAAACCGTAGTTGCCCAGGGACGTTGGAGATACTCAGACCTCAGCTGGCCATGGCCCTGACGAACCTGGTTAGACCTTCTTTGGCAGGAGGTTGGAGCAGATGACATCCAGATGTCCTTTCCATCAGAAATTATTCTGTAACTGTGAAGCAGGTTCCTTTAAAAAGCAGTCTAAACAAACAAAGTAACTCATGGCTACTGAAGGACGTTGGTGCTTCTCTGTGTTTTAGTGTAGTTAGTTCAGCAACTTGTGGGTAGCCATGGAACTTCAGCTGCAGGTTCAAGGCAAAACTGCATTTTAAAATTGTCCATTTTTTATTTAACTACAGTGGACTGAAATTATTAGGAGATGATACTGTTAGAACTGAAAAATAACTTGGAGTGAGCTCTAGTACGTAATTGGATACCTTTTGTTGATTAAATCACAGGCTAAAACACTTAGGAGTTGTTTGTGGAGTATGAATGGTCTTTAATGTCTGAATCAGGCAATCTGACTACAGGTGAGACTTGAGTCAGTGACATATTTGTAGATGAATGGGTGATGAGACCTAGCGAGGAAGGAGGAAAACCACTGTCCACTGAGCATATATAGGAGTTTATGAGCCATAAGTAGTTGTGAAAAGGAAGTACAGGATATGTGTAAAAAGGCAGTGGCAAAGAGGATACCATGTCTCATGCCATCAAAGAATCAGTAGAAGCACAGTAGGCAATCTTCCAGTCAGCTGCCTGCCCTGTATAATCCAGCATGCACTCTGTCAAAGAAGCATCTGGTGTTAGTTGCCAAGTCATACTGACATCAATATACAGTATAGTTTTGAAAAGATCAAGTAGTGTAGGGAGTTGACTTACTGTTATACTAAATGGCTACACTAAAGTGATAGCCTGTGTTTTCCAAGTCAGAGCAAAAATTAAATGACCAGCTCCTGCTTGGACTGTTCAGAGAGATATTTATATTAACTTCTGAGGCATGCATGTGGCTTTTGATCTCTAAAATAGGCAAGGGAAAGCAAATGTCCTGGATATGGACCTTACTGTATTCCTAGCTGGCTCGATGAGATCTTAAGTTCCATTTTGTGGTTACTTTCCCCCTTATAATGCCAATAATTAAACATTTTACTTAATCTGACATTACCGTACTTTTCACTTTGTGATGTTTTATTTTCTTGAGCTGGACTTTTTCTTTTGGGCCCCAACTAAGGAGGGTTTACAAGGCACAGAGTTGAGGGAGCAAGATGCATTGTTCCTTCAAGATAGCTAGAGTATGGTAATGAATTAACATAAAATTACAGTGACATAATCAGAGGACACTCTGTAACTTGCGTATGTTAACAAGTTGAAGTAAAGATTGTGAGGAGCCTGGCCCCATCAAAAGGAAACTGAGACTGCTTTTATACTAGCTAAGATTTTCCTATCTTACCTTGCATCAAGTAAGAAACCACCTTTTTTCTCCGACAAAGACAAATCTGGAGTCCAACCAATCATAGCTTTTGATAAATGGTGACTTGTTCAAACAATATCAGTGTCTTGCTCTGGGGAAATCCAGGAGGTGGGATGAGAAGGAAAGAGGTAGCAGATGAGCATTTGATTTCTGTGAAAGAATCTGGAACTGGAGCTGTTCTGGGCATATCTTCATTTCTCTGGAAAAGCAGAGTGCTCTCTACCAAGAACAGACGGCCTTCATTTCCTCTTGTTTGTGAGCAAGACAGGCTGTCTTCTTGCGGGTTCATCCTTCTTTGAAGGAAGTCTGGCAGAAAGCAGGAACTTTATAAAGGTGATCTCCAGTGATACGTAGCAAAGTCCCTTGAGCTGTGTCAGTAGGAAGCATCCTAAATAAAAGACTTTCAGTAGAGGGACAGATCCTCACCCTGAACCAATTGGCTTTTCCTCCTGTTGCATTGAGAGCAGAGTTTTGCTTCTGGAGAATGCTGGCGGTCAAGATCCAGGCCAGCTGTGATGCAGCATGAAGACATGAATGAACAATGCTATCCTGGGGGCACCAGTGTTGCTTGGAGAAAATTCTCAGGGGACGTTAGAACTTGTTCTGAATTTTAAGAATTTGAGGTTAACTGGGGTCAGTCTTTCTGTTTGTAAGTTAAATCCAGCTTGCTCTTTCACTACTGGTTCCCTGGGATCAGTGGGTGTTATGTTTTTAAAGATGAAACTACAGACTGTGTTAAGGGATGGGAAGTGGTCTGCAGTATCATCTCTGCTCTCTCTGTGAAGCCCCCTCACTTTCGAACAAGCTGTCTTTGTGGGTAACACCAACTGCACTGCTTTTGGGTCTCTGCAGCAGGACACCGGTCCCTTTCACCTACTTGGGACCATTTTTTCCTATGTCTTTATCCTTCATTCAGTTTGGCACCTTCTGTCATCATCCTGGCTCTCAGATGCGCCACCCCGCTCTCACTTTTTCCTGCTTCCTTGCCTACAAGTGAGAATTCCACCCTGGCTGGGTTTCCCCAGGCTGGCAGAGCCACTGCACCTGGCTGGCATGGGCTGAACCAGAAGCCAGAACTCAGCTGGAGATGGGACCTCCTGGTTCCAAGGAGTTGGCTCCCGCCTTTGCTTGTGGCACTGGGGTGAGCTGGAAGGCAGCTCCCAGGCCTGCCTGGTAGGCAGAGGCTGGCTCCAGGGAGGTGGTTCCCAGCTTGTTCTGCACACAGACAGGCACAAAGCTGTGCTGATTTTCTTGGCCCCAGGCGCCATCCACGCTTGGGAACTGGCTTCCAGCTCTGCTGCTTGCAGAGACAGACAAGAGTTTGGGGTTTGAGCTCTTGCTCTTTCTTCCACAAAGCGTGAAGGGAGCAGGAGACCATCTCCTGGCCCTGCCAGTGGGTAGGGAGTGTCTCCTGGGAACCAGCTCTCTGTGCCTGCAGGAACTAGCAGGAGACAAGAACTGGCTCTTGGCTGGTGTTGCTGGAGGAGTTGTATGGCAACTAGGAAGGTTTGGAGCAGTTCAGAACCACTGGCCTTGAGCTTGTCTTCAGAAGGTATCTTTGCCCTATATTTTTGGCAGAGACAGACGGTCACATTGAAGCAGACACCATTGTGTGAGACAAGTACTTCCTCAGATCTTGTTGCTGTTTCCATTAGTTAAAGTATGTACAGTCCAGTTCCAGCAGTGTATGGTCCTTATTACTGATTATACAACTTGGTATGCATCAAATAGTTGTTTCTTCACCAAAAAAGCTGTGCATTACCCAAAAGTCTGCCAAGCCCATAATAAATCATTGCCCAGTTGTGACTCCTAAACAGAACTGAACTATGAAGCTTGAATTTATGTGTGATCAGACTTCCTATGTTGCCCTCCTCCTTATAGCAGAGGTCTAGGGTTAAAGTCTGCTTAGTGTGGAGGTGGTGATAAGTTTACGTTCCTGCCTGCCATGTCCCCCCCATCCCCTGTCCTGCATGTCACTGCTCCTGTAAGGTGAGTGCAGGAAACTAGATCTTGAAATACTGGTATTTTTGTAGTTGATTTGTTTGAATGTAGAGAACTCTGGGAATAATACAAAAGCCTGAATTATAGTGACACAAAACTTTCATTGTTAGCAGCTTGAAAAAATTATGCTGAAAATTGGTTAGCTTTAGTCATCTTTTTATAAATTGTCTTTTAATTTTAATCCTTTCTTGCTTGACTTCGAAACTTGAAATATCTAGTTGAGTCTCTTCTAATCAAATGCTGTGAGTGTAAAACTTCACAAATAAAAAGATTATTCAAAAACTATTTGTGATGGTGTTAAAAACTTTATGATGATTTTGGTAACCCAAAAAATTAGGTTTGTTTTACAATATGTTACTAATTTATATGAACAGTATTGCTTTCCTTTTTTTTTATTTATATGCTTGTCTCTGTTGTTATTTTATTTTATTATTAAATGAACTTTTTTCTTTTCTTTCCAGAGGATGCTAAGCAAGTTTTTGGCCAGACCACGATTCATCAGCACATTCCTTTTAACTGGAATTCAGAGTTCGTACAGCTGCATTTTGGAAAGGACAGAAAAAGGCACCTAACATATGCGGAGTTCACCCAGTTTTTACTGGTGGGTTTAAGACAATATACTTTGTCAAGAGTAGTAAGAAGGATGCAGGAATCAAAGTATTTGCACACTTGCCAAATACCATGCTGGTAGGAAAGTTGAAAGATAGACCAAGTGTAAGCTTTTACAGAGTGATGGGCTTTAGGGATGTGTTGATAAATAGGATGTGCTGATGGTAAAATTGCTGATTAAGGCTAGCTAGGTTTTTTCTTTTGTTTTTGGCACATGTGTGCAGCAGGTGATCTTTTCTACAATGTTGTGTGGACAGAGACATGAAATTAGAAACCTAGACTTCTAAATCTGAAAATCTCCTGTATATTTAAATCCATGAGTCAAAGAATGTTAAGTAACAGTATTGAACATTTTGGACCCAGTTGCCAGACTGGTATTAAGAAGTAATTCTGTCTGTAAACAGCATGTTTACCAAATGTGTATTTAATTCAGTGCTGATATCCAATAAAGATGTTTTGTTGCAAGCCCTTTCCACACACTTCTTTACTTTTGACCTTTTTTAAATTAAGAGTATCTCAGATACAGAAATGCTATTTAGTTTTGCTTGTGGTATATAGAGAATAAAATACTGTCTTTTGCTATGAATTCTTGGCTAGTCACACTTTGGGGTACTTTATTACAGAAGGTAAAATATTGTGCTTATTAAAAAAACCCCAGATTATCTGTATTTCAGCAGTACTGTTAAAAATAGTATTCAGTAGGAAAAGTGATCCTTGAAGTGGTGAAACATGCGAGTTTCTTATTTGTATTCCTTCTGAATACTTACTGCCTGTGTTAGTATTTACACTGGAGAGTTTTAAAATGGGAATCTGCTTCAAGACTGCAAGGTTTCTTTTTTTCTTGTTTACACAAGTATGTTATTTCACAGTAGGGGGTGGTATCATTTTGATGAGGAATAATTAAGATAATGCTATTGAGACAAATGTTTCAAATTGACTTTGTAGAACAGAACCTAATTAACTTTGTATGAAGGGGACGTCAGGTATCACATGATTAAATTGTATTCCCTTAGGTTTTGTATTGACTATTGTAACTCCTAAGTAGCTAAGACACAGATGTTCTGTTCTAGTACCTCCTTACAACTACAGAATAAGCCCTGGATATGTATCCTGATTTTGGACTACCAGTCCTGTTTGCCTCATGCATCTGTTTATTTAGAGATCTGAGGAAAACCTGAAGAAAAACCCAGAATGAAAAAAAAGGACACTTCTTTGCCAAAAGGGGGTGGGGGGGTGGGATTGGGGAGCAGTGAGAGATGTTGGAGTCACAGACCTAGAAGAGCCTGTAATCTCATGGCTGGGGATTAGGAAGATTTGAGTTCTTCCTTTGTGTCTCTGGGTTCTTTCATGGTTTTTCTTTGAATTAGGAAAAGCAAGAGCTAAGGCAGTTTTTTAACTTTGGAGATGAGTCCTAACTACTAGACTTCCTCATCCTGTGGAGGAGTGTTCCTCTCCTTGTTTGAAAGGAAATTTCTTGAATGTGATCATATTTTGGGAAGAATTGTATTTGGTTTTGGTGTGTCTTGCCCCTGTCTCTTTTTTTTTTTTTTTTTTTTTTTTCCCTTATTCGGCTCTACTGCAAAAGTGAATTTTAGCTAGTTGCAGTGCAGAGTAAAAGATTGTGTTGGAACACATCAGTGGTCCTCATGAGTCAGACAGCCCTTTTGGTGATGATCCATATAGGACAGAAAGAGGGGAGAAGAGCATAAACCTGGAGAATAGTGATGACTATTTTGAGTGTCCTCTAGAGAGTTGAGATGCATTTGGAAAAAGTTCTAAAGCTGCTAATAAAGATGTTCTCAGTAAATTAATTGTCCTAATGCTCTGCTGAAGCTGTCCACTATCAGTATAGTCTGTTAGGATGCTCAGTCAGTTACAGTAATTGGGTATGTCTGTTTACCCACTTTCTAGAACTGTAAAACTTCGAAACACATAAGTTTCCAGGCTGAATCTTGCCTTGCAGCATTGTATTATAGATACTGAAGTTTGGGCACAGAAATGACTCTCAGCACAAATTGGAGAGTTAATGTTCACAGGCGTAGAAATCTTCCTTTAAGCTCTGTAACCTTTGGTACTCAGCCTTTCCTTCTGACATTCTGCCTGTGCATGAGTCAGTCTCCTTAGTCTGATGTCTAGACCTTGGACCTTAGACAGCAGGAGACCACAGTGGATACCAAATTACCTTTCTTCATTCCTGATGTGTGAATGCTCTTTACATGGCACTTAACATGGACCAGATGGTTCTGTAAGGCGCTTCAGGTACTGTTTTGTAAGTACAATGCAATTTGCAACTTTTAATGAAATAATCCAGCTAGATTCAAATTCATTCATGTTGGCTCCTATTATGCCACATAAAGTTCTTACATATTCATTATCTGTCGCAGCATTTGGGCTAATCATCACTTCTGGCAAAGCTGAAGGTACGTGGAAAATAATGTTAATATATTTTATCAGTGCACAAGGTGGATCTCTTCTGGTTTTAAATAAGAAGAGTTTATATGGGATCCTGGATATTTATGTCCTGCCAGCACCTTTTTTGTCTGCAGTAACAGAGACACCCAAAAGTATAGCCTCCAAACTGCTTGGCTCTAATAGAATTAGCCATCTATTTGCATCAACCCAGAGCTCAAGGTGTGTTGTTTTACCCTGCTTCTCATTTTGCTAGCTTAAAATTAGTTCATATATCTACACTATGTATCCATCACATCTATATCTGTTTGGTATGGTCATGTTCCATCATCACTTAAGTGGCAAGTCTGCTTCATGAAGAGCCACACTGGCCCCTTTCTCAGCATGGAAAATCTATTACACAGAATGAATTTTAACATATGCTTATATGTGGGCCTGGTAAATACATTTCCACATTGTCTGGGAATTTATTTGTACCCAGCATATTAGTTGATGAAGTAGTACTCTGTAATTGAACCCTGGGATCTACTCCAGTAGAAGGGATTGTGCTCTATCTGATGCCTTGTAGATCCATTGGGATTGAACCCAAACATAAATTTCTATCTAAGTGAAAAGTAAAGAAGCTTTTAATGAGCTGTAAGTGAAAGCTGAGGTAAAATTGCTAGATAGGAAATAATTTAATGAAAATTCTGATGCCAACATGCATGCCATGATGTGCAAATTAATTTTTCACAAAGTCTTACGCTACCTGGGGGAATTCTGGACTTCCAGCATCAAGGGAGAAGCTTGTTTTCTAAGTGTATCTAAAATTACAGAAAGTCTAGTTGGAAAAGGTTCTTTAGGATGTGTAATTTGTATTGCAAAGCAGTGAGGATTGTATTTCTTCAAACCTTAATCTGTCTAGGTAAACAATATTGGACTGAAATAAGTGAAACAATAAAAATTACTGCAAGTCAGCATCTCTAAACACTTCAACTTTGCTTTATTGTTTAACAGTTTATTTTTAAGGTGGTATTTTTATATTAGCTGCCCATACACAGCATAGGCAATGTTATGAACATCTCGTAAAGATTTCTATGAAAAATTGCTAGTAGCTACTGAGCCTCATTTTGAAATGTAGTTAGTCATGCTGTGAGATGTCTCAGCTTTCAGGCTTGGAGACTAAGGGAGTAGATAGCTTTCTTTTGAGTTAAATACTTTAAGGAGTTTATTATGTTGTTATGCAGTGTACGTGTACAGTGATTAGAGAAGTGACGTCTGGGTCTTTTTGTGGCAGACCTTATAGGTGAAATGTAGTATTGAGGCTAAGTGTGTTACCATGTAATGGTCTGCATATTGTTGTACTTTGTGTTGCTGCCATGGTCATGGTTTGGGAATGTCACATGGCTAAGGTCCCTGTGCTTTTTTCTGCTCAGTGCATCTGGAAAATGCTTATCACAGCTCAAAATAACCGTAGCCTAAAAAGATCCTACCTTTCTGAGAAGGTGGGATGAAACTTCTCTATCTATTTGCACTATGCTTAAACCATTCCATTTCAGAACTAGGGAGGAGGTGCAAATAGGGAGCTCCAGAAGACTGACATCATCCAATTCAGAGTTTTGTCTTGCTGTCTGTCTACAGCCAAGTGGCTCTTTCCTAGCTGACAAGAACATGAGCAAGTGGCAGCACTGAGTCCTTGACCATGTGTTTAGCCAAGTGGGATAATTCTCTCTAGTGGGTTCCACAGGTACCAAGGAGATTGAAAGCAATCACGTTAGCAAGGAGAGGATGGGGTGTTTTGGCTTGTACTCAGCTGTACTAGTAACAGCCTTTTTGCAATTAGCTGGGTGATGACAAGGAACATGTACTTAACGTTGGAATGGAATGTGAGCCCCTCTTTGCTTCTGTGGCTGAGACACCACTGTCAGCCAAGGTGCCACCAATGGTATACATACCTCCAAACTTGCTGACGAGTGTACACAGATGGTAATAGACTGGGCTGCTGCAATTCGTGTTTGGGTTTTTTTTACTGCATTTTAGTGCTGGATTCTGCCAGCACAACACTGCCAGCAGTTTCAGTGGTTAAAACAAATTGAATGAGAAAAGGTGAAGAAAGCAACATTCACATTTTCCCATGTAATTCTTCTGCTAAATTAGATTTATTTTTTCTTTGGTGATGCTGCCACTTAATGACAAACATTTTTGTTCATTTGTTCATATGTCTACCTGCCAGGTGGTGAGTATTTAGGGATATAAGAGTTGTTATACCTACATCCTCTTCAGAGCTCTCTGCCTCCTGGGTAGCCGCCTTCCTCAAGCTGACTAAGTTTTTCTGTGTTCTTGTGCTCCTCCCACTATAAACCTCCCAACATTGCTTGCTTCCAAATTTCTGTTGAAATTATAGTCACAATTGGAGTGAAACAAGAGTTTACATGGCTGCATCCAGCCAGAGTGAATATTATTGCTGAATTGTAACACCTCCATGTAGGGGGCTGTAATGTAAAGGAAACGTGACAGAACTGAAATTGCAACACTTCAAATTATAACCCCCACAAGCGTTTCTCATCAAAAGCAGAAATTTCTGAATAATTCTGTGAGTGAAATGCAGTGTTGAAACATTGATCAGTCCTTTCCCGCCCACTCCTTTCCTCCTTTTGCCTAATATATTAGGATCAGGGTACAGAGTTTTAATTAGAAATTAGGACTAAAATTGGAGAGGTCAGGAGGCTGAAGTGAAAAGGCAAGCGTGGTTTGAGTGGCAGCGTGCATCGTTGGCCATGGTGTGAGCTGAATGGGCAGAAGGAGGGATAGTGGCTACAGGCCTCCAGCAGGTCTGGTCCTATGCTGGCTGAATTTGCCTTTCACCTTTCACTCTCTATTCCCTTGAATGCTGCTGCGAGATAAATATCAACTTACATGAGATCATATTCACTGTGAATACGTTGTGCTGGTGATTCTTGACTAGCCTGGATCTTGGCTTAATATGACTTCCAAGGCACATATTTGCAAATATAATGGAAATAATAGGATAGTGTCATGGTCCACTGAAAGATTTGCTTAGTATTGCTGACATACTTTTGCTCTGATTTCATTTTCTAAATAACTGATTATGAATATGTATTCAGACTAAGCACTGTATTTCCAGTAAAGAAGTTTTTATAAGCCTTGAAATTTAAATGGAGTACATAGCAATGATTGTTTTCCTGCATTCAGCAAAGAAATGTAGATTGGGAAGCCTAACTACATCATCAAAAGTTATTTCTGCTTTAGGAAAACCTGTAGAACTGAACAAAAAGTTCATATGTATTATCAAGTTTGTGCAGGATTATTCCTTTTAAATAAAATATATAAAAAAAAAAAGAAAGTAGTCTTAACAGTAATTTATGAAGTAAGGGTGAAGGTCACAGTAGGAAAAGATACAATTTTGAGAGTTTAAATGCCTTTTTTCTCCCCTTTTCTCTCAGGGGTACATTTGAATCACAAAATGAGATTATCAGGTGGTTGCATCAGATAATGGTTGTGATTGATCTGTGCCTGTTACTACTGTTGGAATATTGAGAACTGATCTTTAATCAGTCGTGATACAAGGAGTTCTAAATTAAACTGCTGGTGTCTTTTGTAGACAAATAACTTTGTTTTAAATGAGGATGCTTTTTGGGGGAATGCTTTCAAGATTAGTGGGTGTCTGTGTGAAAATCTCTGATGATTGCATTGTCCTCATTTGAGGGGTAGCAAACGCTTTTACAGAAGGTATTTTGACCGGCTGTGACATATGCAATAAACTGGATAATGCACATCAGGGAATACTTTAATGTTCATGAGGGGGAGATTACCTGCACTGGTGTGTTGATATGTGTCCTCCATTTCTCAGTTAAGTTAATTACATGATCTAATGTCCAGACAGGAGAGAAATCATGATAGTTGTCCTAGATACTGAACTCAATGACAGAGATTATATATTCCACCAATAGAAAGAGCTGAAAGTTACACATACAATATCCTATTAAAATTAGATTACATGTAATCATGTTTTATGAAGTATGAGAGAGATTGTAGGATTGCATTATATAAAATTAACTATTGAGGTGATGATTTTGAACCTAATTTTTTTTTTTTTCCGTGTGTTTTCAGGAGATACAGTTAGAACATGCAAAACAAGCTTTTGTACAGAGAGACAATGCTCAGGCTGGAAGAGTCACGGCTATGGACTTCAGGGACATTATGGTCACTATCCGGCCACACATGCTGACACCATTTGTAGAAGAATGCCTTGTAGCTGTGAGTAGTCCTGGTATCCCAACTGGCAAAGACTTGGGATATAGACATGGGATTCTTTTTTTATGTACCTCGTCCGCTATATGTGGCATGTAGTCCAGTTTATGGATGCATGTGTTTAAGTTTAGTAGTTATTATCTACACATATGAAAGTTTACCCATATTGCAGAATATGTATCCTCAGTGTTCTTGGTGTCCTGAGACAAAAGGTGAAGCAGGTAGATGTACCTTAGTAATGGCCTACAAATGGAGAGATTTCCTCACTATTTTTAGTCATTCCATCATAGTAGATGGAGTCAAATATGTGAAAATGCCATTGCATCACCCTCAGGAAGTCATCCTCAAAGGACTTGCTTTGCAATGTCAGTTCTAAGGTCCTGAGTATAATTTCCAAGGACTGGGACAGTGTATGAGCTGGAACATCACTCAAAGATGTTACTCTACTGATAGCTGTTACTCTTCAGCTTGAAGTGAAGAAACCAAATTAAATATTACAATTCTGCAGCTGCACTGAATTAAAAAAAAAAAAAAAAAAAACAAAAACAAAAAACAACATACATTCAGTTTTGACCACGGTTTCTAGTCTAGCATCACTTTCCAAGTAATCCAAAGTCTGGCCATATTTAAAGTTTAAAGTTCTGCTTTGTCCTGCTTTGACATGCAAGGGAGAATTCCAGGGAGATGTGTGAAGTGATGAGAACTGCAGACTCTGGGCAGAATATTGGAAGCATACAGCAAAAAGCATAGCCAGAAGACTTAGGGACTGACAATGAGATCTGATACTTTCTTCCTCGATTCTCTCCCCAGTCTTGTTATCAGCTTTCCTGGGTCATATACTCTCTCATAAAACATAAGATTTGATTTTTAATTCTCCCTCAAGGTCAATTAAATTTTGGCAAGCTTATGCATTGTTTTCAGAAATCTGCTTGATCACTGATCTTATACTTTAAGTAGGGAATTGATCCAATATTTTTTCTGTGTGCAGACCCAACACCACTTTAAAATAAAGGTTTAGGTTCAGTTCTCATTTGAGAATGAGTAACTCTTCGAACCTTATTGTTCCCATTTTGTTTGACTGCCTGATATAAGCCTGAGAGCTTACTTCTGGTTTTCCATGACTTGAAATGCCTGTGAATTTAAATGTTTCAGCTGACCTTTTTCAGAATATGTTTTGATTTTGCTGAAATTTTCTGTATAGTAATGTACTTTACATGTAGAAGTAGATTTCCTTATTACTAGAAATAAGCCAATTTATGAAACATTTCCAACTGAAGCGGTACTGAAACTTAAACTTTGTAAATTACTACTGGTTTTGTTGCTATAATCCTGCATATGTATTTGTTTAGGTTTGTAGGGTGGAGAGAGTTTTACATTCTGGTCATGATTAGTTTCAGTAACATAAGAATCTTTCATAGTTTTCTTTATTTTGCATTTTTTTTTTTTTTTAAAAAGCAAGCCTGTGCTACTGTTGCTCTTGTAAAATAACATTGTTTGAAAACCTTTATCTCAAGATTTTTCTTAGTATTGTAACAGTCTCCCTTCTCTTCTCTTTTACTGTCTCTAGGCTGCTGGAGGTACCACTTCCCATCAGGTCAGCTTTTCCTATTTTAATGGATTTAATTCTCTCCTTAACAACATGGAGCTCATTAGAAAGATCTACAGTACTCTGGCTGGAAATAGAAAAGATGTGGAAGTCACTAAGGGTTGGTAGAAATATTTGCAGTCTGGAAGTTTCCTTGGGCGTTTGGCTGGGGCGGGTGGAGGGAAAGACCTCATCTGTATGCTTTTAAATCAATAGGAGGGGGAGAAAGCCTGCCTTGTTAGCATTCCTTGGTATGCCACTCAGTTTTGTACGCTCCTTTTGGAGTCCACCCTCCAGGTTTTTCATTTTGTTTCAATCAGAAAAAGGTCCTAGTAAACTGGCAGTGGGGGCAGGGTGAGTAAAGTATGTAAAGATATTTAAAAGTTTAAAAAACTTCCTAGGACTCCTGCCAAATTGGCAGCCTATTAAAGTGACCTTCAAGGGTAGTTGAAGAATTCCATAAACTTGTATTGGCGGCACAGTAAGCTGATCTACAAGCTTGGAACAAGATGTTATCTGCTATATCTAACCACTTTTATAGAGAATTCCCTGTGTAACGCCAAAGTTTCATTAATGTGGCCTACTGGGACTATGCATGAAAAGTTCCACATCTCTTGACTCCTGGGGTTTTTTTCTGTTTGCTTTTTATTTTATTTTTTTCCCTCTGACTTGCAACTGATTGATACCGTATGTCAAATATCCTAAATCCTGCTGATAGAGCTAAGCTTTAAGACCAGAGAGTTGTACTTACTTGCATGAAGGACAGACCATTTAAAACATACATTTATATAGTGGCAAGAACACTTTTGTAGTGGGTCACTTTTATTCTCCTTCTCCCTCCCCCACAAGCGTCTTCTACAAATACTGAAATGTAAAGCAATTGTGGGGTGCTCTGGATTACTTGTTCTGGTTTGATTAGTTTTTCTTTTCTGTATTTTTGTTCTGTTGCAGAGGAGTTTGTTCTGGCAGCTCAGAAATTTGGTCAGGTTACACCTATGGAAGTTGACATCTTGTTTCAGTTAGCAGATCTATATGAGCCACGGGGGTAAGTGGAGACTTATCTTTTCTCTGCTCTTTCCTTTCCTCCTCTGGCCTTGGAAGGCGTGGGAGGTGGTGTTGGGGAACAGGAGAGTGTAGTGTAGTGGCCACGTGCAGTTAACTTCTTGTGATCTGAAAACCCATCTCTAAGCAAACGCTAAGCTGAATTAATTTTCTCAGGCGCATGACGTTAGCTGATATTGAAAGAATTGCTCCTCTGGAGGAAGGGACATTGCCCTACAACCTGGCTGAGGCTCAGAGGCAGGTAAGAACAGAAGCCAGCATGATGCTTATTATCTGCTTCCAGTGCCAGATAAATAGGTAGCCAGCCTCCTTCTGTGTTGTCAGCTAAGTTGCTTTTCTCTTGTCTTCAGTAATATCTGTGGGGAATACCTTCTTGTTAGAATTTATTTTTAACCTGTGTCATGTCCTCTCCATCTCTTTTCTGTGCCCCTTTCTGTTGGGCTGCATTTTGACAAGTTAAACATAATTTACTTTGGAAAGATAAATTGTATATGAGTGTCATGCAGCCATTCAGTAAATATTAGATGTACACCTAATTAAAGTGTTTATGTTTTGTGATTCTGTTGCTCTCTGTTCTTTTTAATGAGGAAAGAAGACTTCCTGCTTCAAATACAGATGGTAAATTCAACATCTAGCCTATTAAATGGCAGCCCTTGTTCTGACCACACATGCATGTTCCAGGCTTCAGAGTATTCTCTGCATTGCCTTATGCTCTGCTGAATATCAAAATAGGAGAAGTGATGTTTAGTTTACCATCAGTTTCATTAAAAACATTAATATTTTCTACATTTCCAAAAACCAAAGGATATTGACTTTCAGTGGTTTAACAGCAAATGAACTTTTGTTGTGTTTGAGGCAAAAAGAAATAGGAATGCTCTTTAAATGTCAAACCTGTTTAATCTTTTAGTTTTCATAATATTTTAGCATATCTTATAGTTTCATTAATACAGGTTTCTGTACAGACACATTTAAAACTAGCCCTCTGTTTCTGTTTGTCTCTATTTTAAGGCAGTCTTAACTTTGTGTCCTATGAGACTAAGGGGTTTTTTTGTTGTTTTTTTTTTTTCCTGCTCTGGGTCTGTGCGGAGACGCCAGTTTGACCACAATGAGTTGATGCAGGCTACATTTTTAGGACTATCAGGCCATAAGCCAGACCTGTGTGTATGTGTGTACACATGTGTCTCTTTTGCTTCTCTTTCTTCTCCCTCCCCTACGTGTGGACACCCCCACCACTGCTCCGAGACAGTATCTAGGGTGGCGGTTTTCTGTTTGTTTGAGCAGTGACTAAATGTTGACTATGCTGGGATGAGTTCAAAAAAGTTGGCTTCCAAAAGCTCACCATCTATTCCTAGAAGACTCCTAAAGGAGATAAAAGCATGTGCATTGGACTGAATATCAAGTAACATAAGTTACAATAGGTGGCAGTAAAATGTAGCCAAAAGCACGGTGCTCTAAGTAGCAGCTTCTTCAATTTTTGCTTTGTGGCCACTGTCTTTACTAGTACGATTTATACCATTTTAAGAGGCTAAGACATATGAACCAGTTTAAATCCTACCATTTCTTCTGCATATGTGTCCTACCTTTTAATTTTTCCATCCAATTCCTTTTTAATGTCAGCTGCTTGGTGCTGAGAGTGAAAAGATTTTTCATCTACATTGATTCTGTCAACTTATTTTCTGACCAGTTACACCTACATTGGAATATTAGCTACAACCTAAACACATTTTCAGGAAAAAATGTATCCATATTTTTCCTTTGACCTTTTACCTGTAGTATCCTAAAAAAAGTATTACAAAAAGCTATAGTAAGTATGGAAGGCTTAACACCCCTGCAGAACTTCTGTTTTCCTAATTCTTTTCTTTCATTAGATAGCAATTTTAAATCTGGAGCACTTCTGAAATTTGTGTTTCACTGGGTTGAATTTAGCACTCATAGACTGTGAGCAAAATCAAATTGTGGGGGGTGCTTTATGAAACCGTATTTTCCTTTAGCTAATATATATGAACAATGCTTGCATACTTGTTTTGATAGCCTGGGAAGTAATAGGTAAACCTGTTTCTGGCGACCGTAGAAAGAAATTCCAAACTGGGGTTGCTTTTAGCTGTAGAAGATTAATGACTTAAGATGCAATATGTATGCCCTCATATGCATATTTAGGCCATTGATTTTGGAGTTGTATAATTTTATTGTAGCATCAGTCTTTCTTTTCTTTGCTATTCCAATCTGATGAGGCTACATTATATGGCACTTAGAAATCAGTGGAAAAGAAATAATTGAAAACAAAATCTCCAGTGTATTGTGAGATTTTTTGGTGATATCTGTACACTTATATCTGTCTGACCATGAGATGTTTTCTCATGAATTATGATGTTCTGATTATTTTCCTTGTTTTTCCTTTTGTTTTAAATCCTGCCTTGACAGAAAGCTCCAGGCGATGTGTCTCGACCTATTCTCATCCAAATTGCAGAATCAGCGTACAGGTTTGCCCTTGGTTCAGTTGCTGGAGGTTAGTCATGGCTGAGCAAAACAATATTCATCTTCATTGTTTGGGTTTTTACTTCTTTTCTTCTGCCTTTCTTCCCCTTCTGCCTTTCATTTAAGTTCGTAAGGCTTCTCAGTCTTTCCCTTGGAGCTGTATCTGAGGGGTGAGATGGCTAAAAGATTGAAGGGGAAAGGGTCATCTGGTCTACAGGTTTTGGAATTTATGAGCCATTAGAGTTTGCAGATGGTATTGCTGTCTGATTTGTCACCAAACCAGTTTCAGAAGAATCAGATTAATAATGAGGTAGGACCAGGAAGTGCTTTTGGTTAAAACTGTGGCAGGTAGTTTAATGTATCCAGAATATATTGTGGAGAAAAAAGACACAACTGATACTTGAGATGTAAATGTGGAAGATGACAGTTGCAGTCAACCACTGCAAATGGAAAATCATGTTTTCTTATAGTTTGATTTTTATTTGCAGCTGTTGGAGCCACTGCAGTCTACCCAATTGATTTGGTAAAAACTCGAATGCAAAACCAGCGCTCTACAGGCTCTTTTGTGGGAGAGCTTATGTATAAAAACAGCTTTGATTGCTTCAAGAAAGTGCTACGTTATGAAGGTTTCTTTGGGCTTTATAGAGGTAAGTTTAAAATGTGGTATATAATACTGATAAGATGCTAATGAGAGTTCAGTGGGACTCGATTTTTAAGACTTTTTAATTAAGACTTCAGTTTTGCCTGGATTGTGCTTTTGCTTCTACTCTGATACAGGTGAAGGGTTTTCAAACTTCTTGATAATTAAAACCTAATTGTAATGAGATCATCTCTGTAGGATCTTTCTGTCCTTTCCTTCCTCATCTACAATAGGGCATCCCTAGCAATTTTCTACAGCGAAAATATACTGTTAGTCAAGTTTCCATTTCCTCAGCAGTCCTTAGTACCAATAATGTTTTGTCCTGTTTGGTAAGAAGTTGGATCATCCGGTTTTGTGTTTTGTTTTGTTTTTTTTTCAGTGTTCTTTCTTACCTGTTTTCTTTCTATTTAAAAACATAAAAACATAGAGAAAATATTGTACCTTGTTATTAACCAGATCTCTATTTTGTGATATCTTTTGTGACAAAAAGGTCTCTCTGAACCAGGTGCATGTTCTTCACTAATCATTGGGAACAGTCATCTTTATCAAGTTTTATGTATACCTCTTCTTAGCTTCTTACTGTTGAGTCAGCCAGAGAGATGAGCTGTATTTCTACCCATTTAGCTTTATATACATAACCAATACACCGAAGTGACAAGTTGGCTGTTCCAAGCTCCCTTTGTGGTCAGTGGAGAAAGCTCCAAAAGCTCGTTTACTTTGTTCATGATGTAAATCATCCTCACTTTGGGTATCTTAGTTAAGTGTCTGCAGTTAAATGGTGGCTTTTTTTATTTTCTCCTTGTCCCAGTTATGTCACCAGTGGTGTAAGTTCAAGTAACACAGAAGTAGTCATAAAGAATCGTGAACTACTGCATGAGACTGCAGTTCTGTGTCACGGAGATAAAGCAAATTATATTTCTGGTATCCCAGTTATTGAGATCTCTTGCCCCTCTCTGCCATATTAATTGAGGAGGATTTGAAACTAGCGTAACTTTTATCACTTTTAGCTGGCTTGCCTAGAAACTTTTTTTAACTTTTTAAAATAAGTATCTTGTAATGACAGAAATTAATTGCTAAAACCAGATGAGTCAGAAATGAAGAATGAAGGATTTTAGTAAAATACTGTTATGATCTGGCAAAGCTATATGCACCTGAAAAAAAAGTAACAGTTTATAAGACAAAGTGTGAAACAACATTAAAACTAAGTGGTGTGATACATGTGCAGTCATTAACATAAGGCCTGAGTTACTGGAGATTGGGTAAGTAGCTCCTCCGCAAAATACAGACTTTGTAATTATTTCAGCACAATTGCAGATGGGAAGGGTCTGTTATTATTGACTGAGTTTGAGGCAATTTTCTGAGTAGGCCTAATAATTTAATGAAGAGTATTGACATGGTTTCTACTTTGTAAGGATTTATAGCAATCAGAGTCATAAAAAGTCCAAGTTATTGGCTAAAGAACAAAATATATTCCCTGCAAATGTATGTCTGCTTCTTCCAGGATCCTAAAAGAATAAATATGCAGAATTGCACTATTATCTGCTTCTGTCTTATCAAAACTCTGAAGCACAGTGATTTTTGCTGGAAAAAAAAACCCTCAGAAATGTCATAAATGTGTATTCTTAACTCCATTTGCTTGTTGTGTTTCTGGAGTGATGTTTTCATTGCCAAATTTGGGGAATTAGGAACCATCAGCAGTACAGCTTGTCCTTCTGTTCCCCATTCCCTTTACTACTTTTCAGTCTTACAAGAAGTACTGACTAGTGAAATCTCAGGCAGTTTGGTGGTGCTGAACTTCTAAACCCAGGGCAATAATCTAATTTCTGGATTATATAGTAGAAATCGTGTGATGGCAAAGAACACTATAATTTCAGAGGCAAATTGAGACGTGTTTCTACAGATTCTCTGCTTAAAGGGCACCCTGATTTTACTTCTCTTTTTAAAGAGTCAAATAGAGAAAACTCCTTAAAAATGTCAAGCTTCCTCTGTGCAGCTCTATAAATTTGGACTGCTGCTTGCTTTCTAAGGAGGTGATGTGGGAGAAGGTTGAGCAACTGAGTGCAGAATGAAGGATTCTGGTTAAGCTTGAAAGGACAAGAAGATTTGAAAGGAACATATTATAGATCAGTATATTGACCCAATTTAATGCAGTAAATTTACAGCATGAAACATCTTGTTCTAGTCTTAAAGACTACACTAGGTAAGACAAACTACAGAACATACTACTTTTTTGCTCATTGGTAACTAGCATTCTTTCTTACACTGTGGTATGTTCAGAGTTAAGTAAATGTGGGGTTTTTTTCCCCACTGGAGGAGGGAGTAGTCACTGGTAGAGTTCTCCTGCTTAGCTGAATAGTGATGCAAAACCTTTTAAAAAAATTATAGTAGAAACATTTAGAGCAATGGTCTCTTTGTCATGATGCACTGCAAGAAAGCAAGTAGGAATTATAAACCGTACTCTGAACTCAGCCATTTCAGATGATGTTTTTAATACATGGCACATATTTCCATCCAGTGAAGTGAACCGATTTTTATTTTTTCTATCATTATTTTATTCCAAACTTGAAAGGGCAAAACCACCATGTTCTAAACCACCATCTCAGATGAGGATAAATTACACCATCTTGTGGATATAAAGAGAGCACTAAATTTTCTTTAATGTCAGTTTGGTTCTAAGGATAATCAGTGTTTCCACTTAGAAGATACCTGGATTTAAAAAAAAAAACCAAAACAACACGATGTAAATATCTGTAGAATCTTTATAATATACATTATTTGAATGATGTGTTGTTAGATTAATTTTTTTTTTAAGACTACATCTGAGATAATTTTTTCATCTGTTTCTTTCTCAGCATGGCTGAAAAGAATATTCAGCTCATATACGTATAATTTACTGTTGTGTCTACATTTATACCTGAAATACATATTTAGGAACTCACAGGTATTTATATATGTGCAAATATAAGAAAATTTTGGAATCTGTGATTTGTTAACATCTCTTCCAACTGATGAGGTCACCTACATTTCTTAATATTATTTTAATCAGAAGTCCACCTGATGAGACACGGAATGCTTCAGGTTCTTAAGCAGTACATCCACTAGAGATTATTTCACCTATACTTGATAGAAATTTTATGGGATATTTAAGTGCCAGAGATAAGATGTAGCTCATGAAAGTGTTCAGTAGCCATGCTGTTAATGCCACTTCGCCTAGAAGATGAAAAACACAGGAAATGCTGCAGAAGACTGTGTCATCTGTGATCATTAACTGTTAAGGAACTTGTTAGTTTTATTTCTTCTGATGGTGCTTCTAGCACTGCAGTGACTCCAGATGGCATCTAATCTCAGATTTTAATCATTCATTCATCATCCAATTTAAGTATTACTGATGAACTCCCATGCTAATGATACAACAAGACCGTGGCAGAAACATTCCTCCAGAAGTATGCAGAGAAGTACCATTTTTGTAGAATGGAAGTACAAGCCTACTGCTACCCAAAGTTCTGTCAAAGCACAAAATCTTCAAGAAGTACCCCATTTCCAGTCTGACGGAGCTGTGCTTGAATGGCAACTGGTGATCAGTTGTCCAATTTCTTGTGTGAATCCTGTAGTAGAAAAATTTGGCAGTATTCTGTTACCACCTCTCCATCAGATACCCAAATTGTTTCAGATAGTTTACCTAGACTAAGCAACAGCTCCTTCAGTCAGTGGATTTTTCTAATATGAAGGGACAGTCAAGTCTATTACACAGCTTGAAACTGAAGTTTCACTGTTAGATGTCTGAAAAAATACTTCGGCCAACTAAGATTTTTTTTAACTTGATGCCGTCACTGCAGCTGGACTGGATGAGCTATTGCTTGTATGTTCACAATGTATTTAGACTGCTTTGAGAAAGTAGCTTGTATGATGTTGCAAACTGAGTGCAGCTCTTGGTGCTCTCTCACGCATACACCTTCACCTTTCCATAGTCCTACTATGACAGTGTGTCAAATATGAAGTGGTATGTGATAATTGCTACTAAAAAACTTTAGATACATAAAAATGGGTTGAATAACACGTTTGCTGTGTACTATACTAGCAAGCTGCCTATGTGCAAAATGGTATTCCTGATATTATGAGGCATACATTTTTAAGACATGGTCAGACATTTCTAAGCCTGTCTTACATCTGTGTATGTGTCATATTGCTGGTCTGCTAATGCATAGTACCACTGAAAAGTTCCCAGTGTGTCATGATAACCCCAACAGAAAAATTACATTTTCATATGTGTCCCTTGAAGGGGGCTTCATATGTTCCCTTTCCTTTCTTCCAAAACTTATCATGTTTATCATGTTCAGAAATCTCTCAACAGTGTCTCAGGGCTCCCATCAAAATGATGAAGAAACAAGAACTTAGTTTTGATGGTCATGACATAGAATGCACGGGTACCACTTATAGATAGCTTTATTACATAGATATGAGAGCAAATGAAGAGTCCCTCTACCTTCCTAAGCTGCTGGAGACAGTAGGCCTAGCTGGTATCTGACAAGGATATAAAATGTAGTAATAAAATTAATACTACCTTTTTTAGAATACTGTATGATGTCTTGCAGTAGACATACACAGCATTATCTGTAATTAAACTTACAAAGCACTTTTATACTACAAAATCGTGTGTGAAGTAGAAAGAGAAAAATGCTCTGGGTTTTTAGTTGTTCAGTTGAGTTGTTTGAGTTGTAACAATCGCATTCAGATTTGAGTGCAAAAGGAATGGACCAGACGGGAAAAAAATAACTTGTGCCAAGATAAACATGTTTTTCCTGTGATTTTATAAGTGCCTTTACAAATGCAAAGTCTTAGGAGATAAAAAATGAAAAATGGTAAAAAGGCCATCTTCAAATTAGCCTAGTGAAAATGAATTTGATTTGTCCTGCCTATGCTGCTTCAAAAACTGGAGGTTCATACAGATCTCCGACTGGACTATTTTTATAATTTTATATCTTGATATTTTAGAGTGTCTTTATATTTGATACAATACAGCTTCAAGATCATGTTGTATATGGCTTAGGTGTAATAATATATGTCTATGTGATTTTAAAATTAATGATCTCTAGATTCTTTTGGAATTACATACCTATTTACAGACCTCCTCTAATTCTACTGGATTAGGTTTAGGATCAGATACTGTGCTGGTAAAGTAAATGGGATGTTTTTTTAATCTCTGAAGATACAGATTCATTGGCCATAATGTCTATACAAAGTCACTATACATGTCCTATAGCAAGATGTAAATGTCATAGCAGTTATAAAGATAATTCTGTCTGTATAAGACTAAAACTGAAGAAATCCTTGTGTTTTCTTTATAGTGCTGCAGAAGATGTAGTATTTAATTACACAGTTCTGACTGTCTTAGTGTTTTTTCAATGAAGTATGGATTCAAGTCACCTTTGCAACTAAAACTGTTTAAGAAATTCAAATTTTGAAATTTAACTTATTCCGCAGAATCTCTTTTTTTCTTTGAGCAACTGTATATGAACTTGGTGTTACTGTATTTTTTTGTCTGAATATGGAGCTACATGATCATAATTCAGCATGGCTGTCTTGGGTAAATGTTAGGTGTATATGTACACTGGCTGTATACCACACTAAATACTCTTTGAAACTTGAAAAACAAAAATGCTGATGCAGGTGTAAAATTTTAAAGACATTAGTATATAAATATGTCTGGCCCTCCTGCTACCAAGCCAAATGGTACTGTTCTCCATTGTCATTTCCTTATTAAGAGCATCAATAGTAACCAGTAAAACTGATGGATGGTAGCAGGATGGAAGAATACACTAATCCAGTGCATGTACATTATTCTCTTTGTTATTCTGATGTTTAGTTCTTTGGGAAAATGCTTTTTGGCAAGTTAGTGCTTAGAGGTGGAACCTTAATTGTCTTTTTCCCCCAAAAGAAGACCATGGAGAGGTAAAAATGTCAGGCTTTGTAGAAAGTACCCAAAGGTGCTCCCTGAGCTACTAAAACAAAGGGGGTCTGCACCAGGAACTCTAGCCGAGGTGATTTTCTCACATTTCTGAAGGGTGTCCTAGTTTTGTTTTGCTGATGAATGCTGGCAACACCATTATAGCCCCAGGCTTAGTTTGTAAGCTTTGCATATTTTTAGGTTATGTAGTCCAAAAGTTTACAGAATACCAACCATTCACTTCAAGCAAGCGAAGCCAGCAGTCCGTGATTCCCACTTCCAGTTCTGCGGTGCATCACTTCCAACAAAATAGGAAATTCCATACCTGGGAAGAATGCAGCATAGCTTCCTTTGTTGTAAGAACTGGTGAATTAGATGAGCAAAGAGCTCAAGAATGCAGTCATACATGTTTGAATGTTTTGCGTTATTTTGATTCCTATCCGCTTTGGTCCTGCCACCTAATGCCATTGTTTTTGCCAGAAAAAGGTACTGCGCTGGTGATTTTTGAAGTGGATGCATTGTGTATCTCACAAAATTAATTAGAAACTCTTAACTTTTATGTGAAGGTGGAGATAAAAAATGTTAGTGTAGGACAGAGTACTGAAACTTAGTTGACAAATCTGTATTAGTGTTTAAGTGTAAAGTGGGCTAATAGAATGGATTTTAAAAAGCTAAAGAAATACATATAGGCAGTGGTAGAACTAGAAGTTGTAGCACAAATTTTCTTCTCAAAATGGAATGTTTAAGTACTCTTATTAAATATAAGAACACAAAATTGCTGTTAAAGTTGCCTTTTTCTAGGTGGTGATGTCTATATATATTTGCTGACTTGTTTAATTAAAACCAAGTTACTCGATACAAATTGAAATCTGTATTTCCATGTTACAGGTCTGTTACCGCAGCTGTTAGGAGTAGCACCAGAGAAGGCCATAAAACTTACTGTAAGTTTGCAAATGGATTGTTTTCACATTTTGCCACATTGTGAAGTCCATCTAATTACAAGTAGCGTGTTCAGGATTTTTATCCTTAATGTATCAGCAGCCTGGTAGTGTTCCCCAGGGCTCAGTATTGGGGCCAGTTCTAATATCTTTGTCAATGATCTAGACAAAGGGATTGAGGGCACGCTCTGTAAGTTTGCAGATGACACTGAGTTGGGCAGGAGTGTTGATCTGCTTGAGGGTGGGAAGGCTCTACAGAGGGATGTGGACAGGCTGGATCGATGGGCTGAGGTCAGTTGTATGAGGTTCAATAAGGCTGAGTGCCGAGTCCTGCGCTTGGGTCACGACAGCCCCACACAACGCGACGGGCTTGGGGAAGAGTAGCTGGAAAGCTGCTTGGCGGAAAAGTACCTGTGGGTGATGGCTGACAGCCGGCTGACTATGAGCAAGCAGTGTGGCCAGGAAGGCCAACAGCACCCTGGCTTGTATCAGAAATAGCGTGGCCAGCAGCACTAGGGAAGTGATCGTCCCCCTGTACCCGGCTCTGGTGAGGCCACACCTCAAATACTGGGTTCAGTTTTGGGCCCCTCACTACAAGAAAGACATTGAGGTGCTGGAGCGTGTCCAGAGATGGGCAACAAAGCTGGTGAGGGGTCTAGAGAACAAGTCCTATGAGGAACAGTTGAGGGGACTGGGGTTGTTTAGCCTGGAGGAGGCCGAGGGGAGACCTTATCGCTCTCTACAACTACCTGAAAGGAGGCCACAGCGAGGTGGGTGTTGGTCTGTTCTCCCAAGTGACAAGCGCCAGGGGAGGTTTAGGTTGGATATTAGGAAGAATTTCTTCACTTGAAGGTGTTGACAAGCATTGAAACAGGCAGCCCAGGGTAGTGGTTCAGTCACCATCCTCGGAGGTATTTGAAAGACATGTAGCTGTGGCACTTGGGAACACAGTGGACTTGGCAGTGCTAGGTTAAAGCTAGGTTGGATTTGATGATCCTTGCTGGTCTTTTCCAACTGAAACTATTCTATGATTTTTGCTTGATGCAAACTTAATTACAAAAAGCACAAAGCAACTATTTATATCTGACTTGTAAACATTACAAGTGTCATACAAGTCATTTGCAGTTATGTCTAACATTTTAAGAATTTTACTGAAAACTTACTTTTGGACTAACTCCAAAATATAACAAGCTTATTTCACTTGTTCAGCCCTTCTGCTTGTTTGTAAGTAGCACAGGCCTTTGGTTTCACTTTTTAGCAAAAATTAATAATTGTTTATTGAACTCGGAGGGCTTTTGGTTTTGTATCTCCACATGGTTCCTGTATGTTTAATTCTAGCGCAAAAGGAGGTAATATGAGTATGTAGTGAAGTGTTGGTAAGAAAGGAACTTGTTTGCATGCATTTTTTTTCCTAAATGTTTTACTTGTGTAATTTTGTTATTTCTTGAATGAATTTAAGGTACTGAAGAATTTCTTACTATAAATCAATTGTAATGTATTGGTTATTCACTGATAAGCTAGTAGTATGCATTTTAGAAAAATAAAGTTACTTAATGGTATTAAATGAATTATTATTGTGTTAAAACTTATTGAACTTTCTGATATTAATTTGAAATTTTATTTAAATTTGTAAATGTAGTGAGCATTTCTAAAATCTTAAATTATTTTATCAGTTTTCAGATACTGATTTTATTATTAAATTAGTGATTGTTATCTTTTTTCAATAATATATATTTGAATTATGCTGCAAATCCTTAGAAAGAAGAACATAGTTAGCTTTACAATATTTCATACAAAATCTAAGATTTGTTTGATATCTGCTAGTTTGATAGCTTCATGCATGTATTTGCATTTTCAGTTGCACAGAATTTGCAACTGATGAGTGTTTTCTCCAACCTTTTAATTTATCAGCTTTCATAAATGTTTGTTTTTTAAGGTTAATGATTTTGTGAGAGATAAGTTTATGGCTAAAGATGGCTCTGTCCCACTGGCTGCAGAAATTCTTGCTGGTGGCTGTGTAAGTATCTTTAATTTCCTTCATATGAGATTCATGAAAATGCAATGTATAAGATTAACTATGTGGACTAAGGCTTCTGTTTAACCACAGATCCGGTTCAAGAGCAGACTCTGCTAGAGCATCTCAGTTCTTTCCTAGATAGGCCAGCCGTTCTTGATGAAAGGGTAAATGTTTCAGTGCATCATGCCTTTTAATTGCGCTGTATAATTCTCACAGCTTAGAGTTTGTTTCCTTATTAAAGAATGTGTCTTGATTCATGTTGGCTGTAGCTTATGGCCTAAAGAGGATTCATGCTAACCTTTCCAGAAGTTAATAATGAGTTACTACTTTGTGGCACCCACTCTGCCACGTCACTTCTTTCCTGATGTGTTATTGCACCCACTAACTTTCACTTTTTGCAGTGATACTGACTTTGTGAAATGGCAGAAACTACTCATGCTTCTTTGAGTTCATAGCAGACATAGGCTGTGTAATAATGTTAACTCAGTACATAATGCATTCCTGAATGTAGGCTGTATTTAAAACCCACTAAGTTTTTGAGAGTGTTTTGCTTGTACAAAGTAGTATCTTAATGAACAGCTGGCATATTACAGGGTAAATTATAATACTTCACGGTTTGGTCTAGTTCTGTCTGTTCATATTACAGCTTACTTTATCTGGTGTATTGATTTTGTTCAAGCAAATGTAAATACTTTAGGTAAAATGAATAGTTGTTCAAAGACCAGTGCACTTCAGAGATAAAGAACACTGTTTATTTAAACCGGCTTTGATCACTGGGGCAGAGCAATGTTGGTATATTTTCAATCTATCTTTGTTTCTGCTGTCATAAGACAGATGAGGTCACATTTTCAAGCAGCTTCTACTTGTGTCGAAAACTACAGTTGAGCAGCAACTTAAATGCTTGTGTCTTAACCTCAGTAGGTGCAGAGATTTGTGCTGTGTGTGCTTGCAGAGAGCGAACTATGATTATCTGAGCCTCAGGGTGCAGTGGCTCGGTTGCGTTGCAGTCTGAGAAGCCCTGGCTTTCTGTAATTCTCAGGAGATGGGGCAGGATTTGGCTGCTGTCTCACTGCTCCTTCTGTTTGATCACTGACCTGTTGTAGACTGCCAGGTAGGATCCCCTTGTTCTGTAACTTTAGGAGCGTTCAGGGGAGAAAAAAAGAAGGGGAGGGAGAGAAGAATGTGGGTCTCTAAAGCCCTAAATAAAAAGCATGCTGTAAATGAAGGAAAAATGCAATAAAGTGCTTGCAGAGTAAAAAGTATTTGCCCCTTACGCTAATAAAACATCTTATGAACATAGCAGCCATAGAGAATTCAGCAAAATTTTCATTTAAAATGTCATTTGATCTAGAGTTTTTATTTTTACAGACTGCTGTGAATTTTTTAATGCAGTACAAAAAGCACTCTTTACAGAGACCTGTCATTCATGAGAATGCTGCAGCAAGCTTTTTGCCAGTAGTTCACTGTAAACTAAGGATCCGCTTTAAGAGATAGGTGGTTTGAGATGTATTTTAAACGTGCTGTAGATGTTGACTTGTCCTATTTGGTATTTGAAATATATATTAACAGTGAGATGCTGCATAAAGTTGTAGCAGTAGACGTGCAGTGGCAGAATGCCCTGAGTTTTCTTTTAACTGGAGTGTTCCACTTAAGGGCATAGTCTAGTGCCAGGTAGATAGGTTGCAACTTGTCTTTTCTGCAGGTGGTCTTGGGTTTTTTTTTTTTGTAATTTTAAACCCAATTCAGACCAGCAACAGAGATTCTCATTACAAGTGGTGCCTAGTTTTTTGGGGTGTATTTTTCTCTCGTGGTGTAAATACATGCGTAAAATATGAGATGCCAAAGACAGGCTTTTCCCTGTAGCTTTTATCATTGTATTGGCCTAACTTTTTGTCTCCATTTAAGCCAACCTGAAATCTGTGATTTCGCTGTGGAAACATTAAGGACACTATTGAATGCTTTTGAAAATTTTCAGTCTTGGATTTTTACCTCATTTCACAATGTAGTAATCACTTATGTGGGAGGCAAGAAGACAGGAATGCATGATGTGTTAGAGTTTAAAAAAGGGCAGCCAACTAAGATTAATTTTATAAAAGACACCTGCCCTATCACCTTTCTGCTCTCCACATCTAATTCTCAGCTGTGATTGTGTTACAAACACAGGTGTTAAACTTTCCTTCTTCAGTGCTTCTGTTTCCTTGCAGTGTATTCATTGCTTATGCAAGGACTGTATGCTGAGATGCATGCTAGATTTTGGTGTTTTAAGTACCACCCCTGTGAGTACAGTATAGCATTAATACCTAAGAAAGGGGGGACTGAGCAGATACTTGGATGGTTTGTGTTGTTCAGCAACACAAAGGGCTTTGAAGGGGTCAGTATCACCTGAGTAGCTCCACTCTGCTGTTTGCCCAACCATTGCCAGGCATTGACTTTTAAGTCCCCAAGGAGTTCACTTTGCATCATAATTACGGAGAATTAGTACACATGGCTGACTTTTGCACTTGTAACTAAAGCTGATTGTTTCATTGAACAAGTCTTTTTCTGTTTTGTAAACTGTTTTCTCTCCTGAAAAAAAAAAAAAAAAAAAAAGGGAAGAAAATAGAAAGATCTTTCACTTCATGACCTCGTGTCACTTAGTTCAGTTAACAGCCTGTTTCATAGTTTTTTGTTATGTGAAGATGAAAGTGATAGGTTAGTTGAGATTTTTTTCTTGAGACTCCCAAGGATATAATTAAAAGTATAACCTTTGTATTTTTATACAGAATCTTGAGGAGGGCTGTTATGTAAATTACTAACTCAAAATTTCCATCTCCTTTTTTTGTAAGAAATTTTCCTAGTGACTATGGTATTTGTTACTCATAAAAATATATGTAACTTCCACATTTGCACAATGCCTGACACCCACCATGAACTCTGGTCTCTGCTGTTCGTTTAGGACCCTCATCACTCATGTAAATCCTATATAGCCCTGATCATTATTAGACTACTAAAAAGCTTCCGTTCCAAGATGCAGTGTAATGATACTGCAGAGCTAGGATGTGCTGAGCATCTAAACCACAAATCTGACTTAACCTCCTTGAATGAGAAAGTGCACAAATATGCTAGGTTTGATTTCTGCTAATGCTGAAACTATCTTCAGGGATTCTTTAATAACAGGATGATCTTGGGTAAGCTGTAAATACAATTTGAAATCTTTTTTTGTTTGCAGTGGTAATAATCTTGAAGTGTCTGTAAGCTTTTTTTCATGGTCTTTCAATTTTTTTTAAACTTTAAATAAAAAATAATCACGAGTCATACCGAGTTCAGCTGCTTGCTTCTTTTAAACTTAAGTCACTTAAAAGCTTCTGTTAAAAATAACCTGATTTTTTTGATACAGCACTGGTGATCATTCCTATTTTTTGAATTATATTAACCAATTGAAAACTCTGTTTGTAAAAGTGGCATAGATATTATTTTAGGGCTTTTGAGGTGTTGCCTTTAACACTAAGCTTTTAGGTAAGACAGTCATTTTGCTTAGTTCCTTAACTAAAGCAGTTCCGTGTTTAATTGACAGATTTATGTTGTGTGCCTGGAAGTAACTGGGAAAGAGATGCAAAGATGCAAAATAAAGAGTGCTCATGAAACACATATGAAATATTAAGAAAAACAGAAGTATTATAGCATGACTAAAAAGAAATAAATATGTAATATATGTTGCCTTGTGTGCATATAGTAATGCAATTACACAGGTAAATAGGACGCTTAATTTTCAGAGAGAGAAAAACATTTTGCTTTATTAACCTTTCTTTCTCTTCTCACTCCTCTTTCCCAGCACACACAGTCTTTTCCTTCCCAGCTGCTCAGTGCCTGCTCACTATTAGCCAGTTTAAATCATGTAGCACAGTACAGTTACAGACCCTGTACAGATCTGCTTTTATTTAAGTTGTCAAGACAATTTTAGGCATATTTCTAGAGACTTTATAGTAATCGTAATAAAGTTAAAACATATTGGACCTGCTTGGACAACCTCAACTCTGCTATGGAACATAAAAATTAGATACAGTTAAGATGGAGTTCATCTAGAAAGTGCAAAATCTTGTGCAGAATTAATTTTTATAAAAGAATATGATGTGAAATTCCAGATGAATTGTGCCAAATAACCAATCCAGTGCAAATAGTTTTATTAAGCTACTTACATTTATTTTATGTTTCAGAGAGTCATAAAGATAAGTCCACATCTGAGCTGCATTTTGTCTGTGGCATTGCAGTGGAGGTAGAGGGTTTATGGACTTCAATTTCCACACTTCTTAGATCTCTTGCAAAAATTCAGACATTTCAAAATTATAGACTAAAGGAGACTGAAGGTGTCATTCTTGCCCTGATTATTCAGAATCCTAAATCTGATAAAATTCTACTCTGTTTGGCAAGGAAGGCTGAGGTATGGGTAAAGTGAAACTGAGCATTATGTATGCCAGGGGAAAAAAAAAATCTCTGCATGTATATCTGAAAAAAAAAAAAAAGAACAACTGTTATTACACAGAAAAGTTTTGATGTAGTATATTGAGGTAGTTAAGTAATGATGGTCTTCTTGGTGATTACTCATATTAGCTCTGAAAGCAAATGGCATACATCGCTTGAACTCTTTTAAGAGATTTATTCTCAGAGGTCTGTTCTCCCTGTAGTCAGGGAATCTAACTTCCATTACTTTCAATGGGAGTTCTGCCTGCCTGTGCAAAAGCACAACATTCACATCTCTTGTTTAAAGAAAAGTTCAGAAGTTCCTAATAAATTTTTTAAATTAAATTTAAAGCTATTTTCATTTTACATAAAATTTATGTTGTTAAATAAATTATTTCTATTTAAAGTCTATTTAATATAATTAATATAATGTAATAGAATATACTGTAATTAAATAGTTATTTTTAAAGTGTAGTTTTCTCCTCTGAACCACTGTAAGTGTAGTTATTTTCAGCATACTGAAAATCATTTAAACTAATTGTAAACTTTCAGTACAAAATACC